CCGAGAGAGTGGTCGCGAGAGACAGTTTGTCCCCGGCGGCAGATATCCAAGGGGTGCCAAGTGAAAAGAAGATCCTTAAAAAAACAAACAAAAATAAAGGTCCTTCATATATAATATAGGATAATTTTGATAATAACCAGGGTTGCAATATTTTTAATAACTTTCCCACTTTTTTTTCAAAGTAAATTTTGTCTAAAAGTTTTCTAACCTAAAGAAACAATTACAAAACGCTTTTTAATTCAGAAAATTTAAAATCATTTAAAGTACAATTGACACTGTTTCATTGGAAACTTTTTTTGCAGACGCTAATCTAATTTATGACACATTCTTCAAAATATTTTATAAAATGTAAGACGTAAAAAAGTTTAGACAAAATAGGTTAAAGGTTTTTGTGGTACCATTGATGACAAAAGATATCAGAAAAACCAAAATAGAGGAGAGTAAGACTCCTCATAAAAAAAAGAATAGAAAGCCAAAGAATTAAATGTTAAAAAGTTATATTTCTCCAACTTTTCAGTTCGTGTTATTGATGAATAAAGAAATATCGAATCGTATATTAATAAACGAATAACGAATATAATAATAAAGGAATGACAAAAAATTTGTGTTATTGGTAAATGAAGAAAAAAGAGTGAATAGTGCACAAACGGAGCCATAAAATCGACTCAAAGTGTTGCGAGAAAGTAACAAATAAATGGATATTGTCAACTCATTTTTCACTAGATAGTTTTAAAATTAGTTAATATAGATTTATAAAATGGAGACAGGAACTTTGTGATATTTATGAAAAAGGGAGAGATTAATCAAACTGCAGTTTTCACTATCATGTTTTAATTTTTTTTTAGGTGCCACAAAAAGTCCTTACGGTCATATCACAGATCATCGCGGAAGGTTCACAATAAATTTTTCCTAAAATAATGTACTTGATAATAAATTTGGTAAGAACTTATTTTAAGATGATTTACGTAAACAACAAAACTATTTTCTGAAGATTTAATTGGATATATATAACCACTATTTATGAAAAAGCGAAACAAAGAGAAAAGTGAAAACATGATTAAGAAATAGGAAGAATTAGAATACTGAATGGATTTTGTCAGTAGCAAAGCATTAGATCTATAGAGCATCTCACTCTATCAAACCATAAAGATTATTTAGAATGTGATTTTTTATAAAAAAGATTTTTAAATATGAAAAGTTTTAAACCATAATATTTACACTCGTTAGATGTTTGTGTGCATTTATACACGTGTGTCTAAATGCACACAAACTAAAAATTAAAAAAATATATATATTTTTAAATCATTTTTTATTTGAAAAAAGCTTTTTCGATTTTTATGTTTGATGTATAATATAATAACATATATGTGTATGTGGGTATTTGTATAAACGAAATATATGTTATTTACATTATAAACTCCTTGCTTGGTGTCAAAACAAACATATTTTAACCAGTTCTACATATTATGATAACAAAAATCAAAGAAAAATTAAACGGTTGTTGCGTGTTTAAAGCGCTTGCTTTAGAAGCATAAGGTACTCGGTTTGAAGCGAGCTCTGGGTGTATTTTTTTATCTGTAAAAAAGGAGACGTGAGCAGCCTAGTTAAATGCTCTTCCACGGTGATGAAACCATTAGGTCTTCCACGGTGCTCTTTGACAAAACCATTAGGTCTTTTTGGGGCACAAACAAAATTAAATAAATAAATAAACTCACAAAAAAAATAACATTCAATAAAAATCAACTCATTAAAAAAAAAATTAATAATAATAAGAAAGTGAAATGATCTTGCCATAATATTCACCTTTATATCTTTTATATAGAGTGTTTAAACAACCTGCAACACAAGCAGAATGTTCGAAGGTTTTACAGGTGTATGCAATTTGTTGATTTAAAACCGGACCAAATTGTCTAGCACTGTATTAAGCAGTCCGCAGAATTTGATGAGAATATTTATGTTAATACATATATAATACATATTTATGCTTGCATGGCGTTGCTACTTTAAAAAAAGCACTTGAAATTAAAAAAAAATGTTATTTTAATTTTTACATTATTATTGGAAAAATATTTATAAATGGTTTAAAAATCTTAAATTGTAGCTTGGTCTTTTTTTGGTATTAACTCTTTAAAAAAAAAAAGGGATAAAAAATATGAAAGCATTTCAACAAGTTTTACTATTACTTTTCTCATAAGAATTATTTTTTATCCCTTTTTTTTTTTAGAGAGTTTATAAAAAGACCAAGCTACAATTTAAGATTTTTAAACCATTTATAAATATTTTTCTAATAATAATGTAAAAATTAAAATTTTTTTTTTTAAATTACAAGTGCTTTTTTTAAAGTAGACAAAAATTTTAAAATGTTTTTAATAATAGTTTTTTATTTTAATGAAAGCTATATTGATATCTATGAAACAAACGATTGATCATCGGATTTCATTGCAGCTTAGATAAAGTTGTAAAGTTATAGTTATTTTTCATTAAAGTCAATTAAGTTAATTTTCAAATAACTAATAACTGAGGGATAGAAAATTAAAAATGGCTTTAATTTTTGAATCTTTGGATGATAATAACTAAATAAATAAATAAACTAATTTACTTTTTATTTAAGTAAGCTTGAATGTACGTTTTGAAAACTTTTGAAAAACAAAATTGGATATTAGGTATCTTTTATACATATATAAGTTTAAATTACCAAGCGGTTTCTGTAATCGCAATTGATCGTGCTAGTAGCAAATTAACATTAAACCGCAACTTACGTTTTTATGATGCAAATTTTTTATTTGGAAATGACGCTAATAATCGGTTATTTTTAACTATTCGGAACCGAAGGAATTTATATGATGTTTGTTATTTTAACCCCCGTTTTTAAGTTTATTTTTGTTTTTTATATGCAGGGGGTTTATGGGGCGGGAAGTTGACTCTCCTATCCCAAGCAATGGATTGTAAACGCTTAAGCAATTTAGACGATGGTTAGATGGTACTTAAAGAAACATTTTGTCAGTTTGTGGTTTTTATTAATATACGATGTTTTCAATACATTTTCTCAATATTGCTTTTAGTAAAGTTTTCAAATACTATAAATACTTACGAATTCGTCTTTGCATTACTTTTACATCATAACTTAAAGCAATATTAAAACAAATAACATATATAAAAAAAATAAAACATGATATTTATTAGTATATACAAAATTTACTTATATAAATATTAATATATTAGTTATTTATTATAAACAGGTTTGAATTTTTCAGTATAATAGAATTGTGGGTAGTTGAAAGCGTCAAACATTTACCTATGGATATATCCAATATATAATATATATATATATATATATATATATATATATATATATATATATATATATATATATATATATGTATATATATATATATATATATATATATACATATATATATGTATATATATATATATATATTATATATTGGATATATCCATATATATATATATATATATATATATATATATATATATATATATATATATATATATTTATATATATATATATATATATATAATATATAATATTATATATATATATATATATATATATATATATCTATGGATATATCCAATATATATATATATATATATATATATATATATATATATATATATATATATATATATATATATATATATATATATATATATATATATATATATATATATATATATATATATATATATATATATTATATATATATATATATATATATATAGATGGATAGATAGATAGATAGATAGATAAATATAGATATAGATATGATTATAAATAAAGATATAACTTTAATAAAATAATTTTATAGTGTAAGTGTAATTAAAAGCAAAGGAAATAATATGACATATAAATGTTTTAATATATATATATATATATATATATATATATATATATATATATATATATATATATATATATATATATATATATATATATATATATGGCGCTACTCGACTTTCTCCCCCCCCCCTGTTTTTATGATTGATTTTTATAGAGTACATTATACTGATTCTAAATCATATAAAAACATAGGTCTGAAAACTTGAGGAAAGTACTCTAAATTGATGTTATAGTATAAAAATCCATATTAAAAAACGCTAATATTCCACCATCTTTTTAAAAACATTTTAACACTGTTTTCAAAATTTAGGTGATTAATTTTTTAACTAACGACCGGGTTTTTATTGTTGTTTTTTTATGATGTACATACATCGACTGACAAATAGGAATTGGCGCAACTAAATGTACATGCATTGACTGACAAATAGGAATTGGCGCAACTAAATGTACACGCATCGACTGACAAATAGGAATTGGCGCAATTAAATGTACATGATTTGGGGGTCAGGGTTTGGTTGGGGCAGGAAATCAATAAAAAATGCGTTTTAAATTGAAGCGTCGATAGAAACCAGGGTTTTTTAAAGTTGTTATTGAAAAAGAATTTTATCATAAATACATGCTTATATAAGTAAATAAAGTTATTTTATATTCTTGCATAATTCATATAAAGTTTATAAAAGTTCACAAAAGCTTTAAACCTTTTTCAAAAAATAAAGTAACTTAAGAAAAAATATTTCTAAAAATAATTGTTTAGAAATGCTTTAGAAAGACATGGAAAAAAAGTTTCAAACGTTTAAATTTATTAAATTTAAATTGAAGCGTCGATAGAAACCAGGGTTTTTTAAAGTTGTTATTGAAAAAGAATTTTATCATAACCGAGTATGACAAAAGATGGTGGAATATTAGCATTTTTAATGTGGATTTACTTTAACATCAAATCAGAGTACTTTCCTCAAGTTTTTAGACCTTTGTTTTTATATGATTTAGAATCAGTATAATGTACTCTATAAAAGTCAATCATAAAAAGAAGGGGGGGGGTAGAAAGTTATATATATATATATATATATATATATATATATATATATATATATATATATATATATATATATATATATATATATATATATATATATATATATAAATTTTGTTATAGAATAGTAAAATGAAATTTAAACTTTTATTGTTGGTTATACTTTTTTCGATCGTTTTTGCTCAAGGTAAATTTTTAAATGAGTTTTAGTTTTTATTCATTTTTTTACATTTAAAGTGTGTAGGATATAAATTTCCTTGCAAGTTGTTATGCAGCTAAGCAGCATAAAATAATTTAAATTCACAGCTTGAATAGTCTATGGTGGTAAAAGAGAAAATAAAATAACTAAAAGTATTTAGGTTCATTTCATATGAATGACCATTTTCCGTATTACATGCATTTACAGGAAAAAAAATTTCCTAGTCTTTTAAAAATTTGTCATCACCCAAACGTCTTTATTTAAATTATTTGCAGTTCATATTAAGTAAATAGTTTATTTTTCATTACTTACAGTCCAATAATTATCAGTAAATAATTCTTTGCTAAAAATTACATGGTTTGTTGAGATATTGTGAGTTGAAATGATGCTGATTCAATCTCATATGTCCACATATAAGTTTTTTATTTTAGACAACTTAGTCATGACTGTTTGCAAGTTTTATTATATTACACGTTTCAAACTTAGCAGAAAAACTAAGTTTGAAAAACAAAAAAAATGCCAAACTAACAAAATCAGACTTGGACAGGAATGGCGTGGGATTGAGCGCTGTTGCTGACCACGCAAATAATTTTATTTTCTGACAACTTGACCTCAATTATTTATATGTTTTGATGATTTAAAAATTTCAGAAATGCTCCGAATGTAGAAACGCTCACTTAAACTTTGAAATAAGTAAAAAAATAAAAACTAACAAAAACAAAATTCCTAAGAAAAAAAGAAACGAAAAACAAATTCCTAACGAATAAGAAATTATATAAGCACTAAAATAATAATAAAAGCTTAAACTGGATGCAAATATTTTTGTTACGTTTTTAATTACTATGAAATAAACATTATTAAAGCTTATCTTTTTAAACATTTAAAGTTACGCTAAGCGTTTTTAAATTAAGTAACAAATTACTACTAATGATTGTTTAATAAGTGAACAAATTTTATTAAATTTTTTAAAAAGTGTTTTATATGATATTTTTAAATTGTATAAACATTTATTTTTTCAAAAGCAAAAAAAAAACAAAGTTTAAAAAAATAATGTAGTTTTTTTAAAATAGTAATTTTTAACAATTTCATGCTCTAATTAATAAGTCTATTAATAAAAAGATTTTCAACTTTTTTATTTGTAAAAATAGGGAAATAAAAAAATAAAATATGCCTGCGATTTAAATATAATAAACTGCGTACAAGAGTTTTAATTGAATTTTAATTTGAGCATTATAACGTCAATTATAAGCGCTTCACTTAATGAGTTTAAAAATTATTATAAAAGATTTGTTCATTCCTATCAAAATTTAAAAAAAAATTTTTTTTTTTAAAAATAAAATTATTATTTTTTGAAAAGTAATTACATTTAAAAAAATCGTAAGTTTAATTATAAAAATTAGTTGTATGAACATTACAAAATGCTTTAAAACTTTTTCATTAATCAACAAAATACATGCTTATATAAGTAAATAAAGTTATTTTATATTCTTGCATAATTCATATAAAGTTTATAAAAGTTCACAAAAGCTTTAGACCTTTTTCAAAAAATAAAGTAACTTAAAAAAAATTATTTCTAAAAATAATGGTTTAGAAATGCTTTAGAAAGACATGGAAAAAAAGTTTCAAACGTTTAAATTTATTGTAAAAAATAGGAAATTAAGATAAGTTTAAATTAAAAAAAAAAAAATTAAAATTATTAGTTTAAATAATTAACATACATTTACATTTTTGTTTTTTTTGGGTTGGTTGTTATTAAATTTAGTAATTACATTAAGTATAATTTTTTTCTATTTGATTTATTAATTAATTTTGTAATATGGTAGTAGTGTAGTGGTTAAACGCTCCTTTCATAAGTGAGAGATTCCGAGTTCGATTCCCACCATGTCCCTGGTGTACTGCGCAGAGAAACAAATTGAGTATGCGCTCAATTTGTTTCTCTGCGCAGCAGCCTTGTTTGTCATGGTTTGTGTTTCTGAGTAATTAAGTTGAGAGAGGCTTATAACCACAATTAAATTGCCTCCTCTCCTTCCTCGACTTTGGAAAGGTCAGTTTAATAAATTTTAGATATGTGTCGGAATTAGTTTATGCCGAGTCTTCGGTTCCGGGTACCCGGCTGAAAAAACCAGGTCCGAGTCCAGGTACTTAGCACTGAGTCCATTTTTTAAAAGTTGGAATAAAAACTTGTGAAATCTCTAGTGCTGAACTATTCACACAAAATACGCTTTTTACACTAACTAACCAAAAGTTATGTGGGGGAAGTACCATTTAGCAAAACCCCGCAATGCAGGGTAAGGGGCCTGAGTTGTAGGGCCTAACTTTTTTCAAAAGTTGTGCAACAGTTTTTTAATAACTATATTTAGTTAAAAATTATTTTTCTTTCCTGGTGGAGCAGGCCTAAATAATATTTTGTGGGGAAGGGGGCAAAATTTGAAGTTCCGCCATTAAAAGTTATATTATGGAAAGCAAAAGATTAAGAAATATAAAGAATCGCAAAAAAGGTAGACCTTCTCAACTATAGAGTGATTAAAATAAAACAAATTTAAACAAATAAAAAGAACTTAAACAACACTTATTTGCTGTATCTTATTTTAATTGTTTTATTAACTTTAGATTGTAATGCACAAACATTAGGTATTCTCCGTTATCTGCTTTTAGTCTGCTCCTTATTGCTTTGTATGTCTCCACCAGCACTAAATAACTTTTCACTTTCTATTGATGACGGAGGTGCTGTAAGATATTTTAATGCCATCTTTTTTAGTTTTTCAAATTGCATTCCACATTTACTCCACCACAAAAACGGACAACCTTTATTTTCTAAAAGAGGCAGAGATAAATAGTTGTCTATTTCTTGAGTAATTGCAGACCTTAATATTGTTTGCTTCTTAATTTTGTCAGTGGTAACAACTTCAATATCTACTAATTCTCTTTCTGCCTCGAAATGTCTTTCACTCTGCTTTATTCTGGTTCTCATAGAAGCTACATCTTTAAAACAATCATCAATGCTAATGAATCCATTAGATGCTGGAGCTTTTACTATTGGAGCATCGTCGGAGTCAGAATCAACAACATCTTGCGCTCCTTGCATTTCTTTCCATGCTTCTTTAACCCATTCCTGAATATCATTTTCATCTGCATGTTGATAAAGTAATTTATATCGTGGATCCAAAAATGTTGATACACAAAACATCTTATTAAGCAAAAATTTATCAAGTCTTTAAGTAACAGATTTTATTAGTTCATCAATCATCATCATAATCCCAGCGTATATATCACTTGATGAAGCTTTTTGTAATAAAACCTTTAATGCAAGAACAGGTAGTATAATTTGTGCGCAAGTTTCGTCCCTCCTACCACATTTTTTTGTTAAGTTTTCAAATGGAGCAAGAATGTAAACAAGTTTTTCGACTATTCCCCATTGATATATCACTTGTAGGAAGTTTAATTTCATCATATTCTGCTGCATAGGTGGCCAAAGGAACTTTTTGTTCAATCGTTCTTTGTAGCATTTTAAATAAACTGTTTCAGCAAGTTGGATCATCTTTTTTTTATTTTGTGAGGTACAGTACTTAACTGCTGCTGAATTGATTTTAATTTTGCACATGCTATTGGCAAATGATTAAAATGTGTCGTTATTCCTCTGCATAAAGTTAAATTTTTTTGACGGTTTCTTGGCTAAATATAGTCATGAATATATAGCTGCAAAGTATGGTTAAAGCATGGAGTTTATGACATTCCACTGTTTTTTACTGCAGCCTTCATATTGCTTGCATTATTGGTAACAATAAGATGAATTTGGCTTAACAAGATTTCCAAAGTTTCTAAACCTTTTTGTAAATACTCTTTTATATGAACACCTGTGTGCTTTTCCGGAAAATGGATTACTCGAAAAACAGCAGTTTCTTGGGAAAATTTAGTTTAATCTATCCAATGTCCAGTAATGCTTAAAAATGCAATTTTTGCAGTATCCGCTGTCCAAATATCTGTCGTCAGAGACAAATAGTTTGCCGCAGCGATTTTTGTTTTTATATCTTTAAACAGTTCATCATACATGCTAGGGATTACGTTTTGGCTGAAATATGTTCTAGATGGTAATTTGTAATTAGGGTAAGCATCTTTAATAAGTTCATTAAACCCCGTATCTTCAACAATAGAAAAAGTTGTCCTATTATTTTATGGATTCGAATAGATCTGTGGTCATCAATATTCCACTGTTTTTTTGTTTTTTTTGTAAAGCCTGAATAATGTTACTTTGTACTGTATTGGTGGTAGAAGCAACTGAGGCTTCAGAAATAGACGGCAATGATTGAATCTTTTTTTTTCCTTCTGCAAGTTCAAACTCTTTGGAATGCTTTAAATGCAAATATTTTACCATTGCTGTAGTTCCATAAGACTTTCCTCCTCTCATAACTAAACTATCACATAGTTTGCACTTACTCATATGAGGAGTCGTGCTTATCAAAGAATTTCCACCCTATATTTTTATTTGTCATAATTTTTCTTTCAAATAAAATTTCTATAAAGATAATGAAACTAGTTTTAATATCAAAGTTTTCGTTTATTTTATATAAAACGATAATTTTTTTAATAATGGGCTCGAAATTAAAATATGAAAAATGGGTATAATATTTACCTTATATCTCTATTTTTATGATTTTTGCTTGACACAAATGAAAAGTGCTATCAGCGTTCGAAAGCATTATAAACGTTTCATTCAAAACTAAATTGCTAAAAATTATCTTGTGTTTTAACAGAATAAAAAGAAGCTATTCTAAAACTTTTTTTCCCATTCTTTTTATTCGTATTCTTGAATTATTTCATTTAGCGTTACAGTTTTTGTATCCGTATAAATTTTTTTTCAAAAATGTATTAAAAAATATTTTAAGTGAGATTGTTTTAAGTTAATAGAACTTTGTGGTTATCGACTACATAACACTCTTAGACTTGTATCAAGAAGTTTAATGGTTAAAGTTTAAACTAAAAGAAAAATCAATTTGAAGATACCAGGTGCCGGGTACTGCAACATAATGTCCGATACCGGGTACCAGGTAAAACAGCCGAATTGCTGGTCTCTGGGTCCGAACTGGATACCCGGCACATCACTAATAAATTAAAAAAATTTTTTTTTATTGTTTTCATACCACAAAGATTAAATAATAGAAAGTGCTGCATGATTTTACTGAAATATTATTTTTATTTAATCAACACCAGCAAATTATCTATAAATTATGCACATGTTTATATTTTTGATGTTTGTTATTCAATAAACCTACAAAGTGATTTTGAAATTTAAAAATCTTTTTATCACATGCAGCATTATTTAATAAAATATATTTTAACTTGCAAATAGTTTATTTGTAAGGTTGTTAATTTATAATTTTAAATAGTAAATTAGTTCTGATAGTTACAAAAAAATATTTTCAAAAGAGTTTCATCGCCTTTTCATTTCTTATTCTAAGTAGATAAGAAACTCTTTTCCCCCTTCATCTCACTCTTCATCTCAGTAATTGTTTTTATAAGTTAATATATATTCTGTTTTATATAATTTTCTTATTTTGTTCTGAAATGTATTTATCTTTTTGTAACTTTTTGTTATACATTAAAAACCAGCAATATTTATTTTAGAGGGTAAAAAGTGCAAAGAGCGATCAACATGTAGTGAATGTATGTTAGCTTCTGGTGAATGTTATTGGTGTGCTGATCCGGTAAATATAGTGATACTATATAAGTTATTGAAAATTTAAATAGTAACAAAATTATTTTTTTAAACTTTTTTTATATTTAAAAGGGTTACTTAGTACAGTTCATTCTCGATAAATTGAACTTCTAAGGGACCAAAGCAAATGTTGTGACTAAATGAATGTTTGACTAAAGTAAATTCCCATTAAGTGGTACTGTGCTAATCATAATACATAGTGATAGTTTTGACTTTTTTTTTTTTATAGTCGTTAAGTGTTTTAACAGAATAAATAAATAACTGCAAACTAGTTCAATTTAACAGTTAATTAAAATCACTTTAAAAATTATAACCTTTTGTAAAAGTTAAACAGATTTACTAATATTTAAATAAAAAATTTAAATTTAAAATAATCGAAAATAAGTTTATTAAATGCTTATGTTTTTATTCGAATAGTTTATTAAATACGTTTATTAAATGCTTATCAAATTTGTTTATTAAATGCTTATGTTTTTAATTCAAATACAAGGCATAAAACTATTTTGTTAGTTTTACAAATATTACGCGATAAAATATATGTAAATATATTATGTAAATATATTATGTAATGTAAATATTGATTAAAAATTGTTTAAAATATTTTTAATTATTATAAATTAAATTTACTAAAATATAGTTAATAACTATTTAAAATACTTTGAACAATTTTCAATTATTATTTACTTATAGCGTGGTATATGCAACAAAAGCGTTTATTAAAATCTTAAGTAAAATAGTTTTCTTTTAGTAACATCGTCCACCAGTAAATTCATGTATTCAAAAAATGCCTTTAAATCAACACCTTATTATAGGATAATACTGAACAAGATAAACATGAATAATTATTGATCAAAAATTATTGTTGCGGCTCCCATTTAACTCAGGGAGAATGAGGGAAGGGGGAAATCAAAAACATAATCTTCACTATATATATATATATATATATATATATATATATATATATATATATATATATATATATATATATATATATATATATATATATATGTGTGTATATACGATTTCTCTCAATACTATTGTTAATTTATTTGAAATTTTTGCTGTATAGTTACCAGCATTATCAGGTATAATATCGTAATTAAAAATTACAATTATGACTGTTATAATAAATTACAAAAATCAAACTTTGATGTCAAGTCCAAAATTTAGTTTTAATGTATTGTCCGTTATCTAAATTTATTCCACCATAAATTGGAGAGCATTGATGTTTTTGAATCTCTGATGCTTCACGAACTTTCCTATCAAATTTATTGTCTTCTTCTTTAAGTGTTTTAATTTTATCCCAATTAATTTCTTCTCTACAGTGTTTTTTATGAATTGCTCTAGCCCACTGATAATACTTTTATAATACTTTAATACAAAATAGAATATGTACAGCCTATTTTTAGCTCTCTTAGAACATGAAAAAATGTCCTAAGAGAGCTAAAAATAAATAAAAAAGTGAATCATAATTTAACAATAGATCAAAGAAAGGCATTAAAAGAAGTTAAAGAAAATAGTTTCATTGATATATATCCGTTTGATAAAGGTACCAGTTTCGTAAGAATAGAACACGACAGAGCTATAGAAAAAATTTGCTTACAGATTGGCACAACTAAAATTATTAATATAGATCCTACTCCAAGTTATGCTGTTAAAGTAAGGTCGTTCCTATTGCAACTTAATAAAAAACAACGGTTTTCGAAAACAGAATATGATAGTATGTACCCTAGTGATCCTGTATATAGTATAAAATAGATAGATGTACCCTAGTGATCCTGTACCACCTTGTTTATATAATCTTATCAAGGCTCATAAACCCGATAAATTGTATCCAGTGAGAGTAGTAGTATTAACAATTAGCACACCTAGCTATGGAATTTCAAAGTATTTTGTTAAAAAAATACAACCAAATTTTGAATGAAAATCCAATAAGGTTAAAAAATTCCAATGATTTCATCAATAAAACTAAGGCCCGGATTATTGATAAGGACAAGTAACAAGTATCTTTTGATATTGTAAATTTATATCCATCAATACCATTAAAAGAAGCAACAGTTATTCTTTTAGATCAATTAAATAAAAACATTTTCTATAAAAAATCAACCAAACTTGATATAGTAGAAACTAAACAACTAATAGAACTTTGCTTATTTTCGTAGTTACTTTATGTAGAACAATGAGATACACGAATTAGAGAACTCAGGCCCTATTGGATTATCCTTTATGGTTGTTTTAGCTGAGTCGTTTCTACAGCACCTTGAGGAAAACGCATTAAAAATAGCGAAGACTATAAAACCTTTTATTGATATTAAATCTTTTCTTTGATATGTAGACGACAGTCATGCTAGATTTCCTAATTTACAACAAGCAAAACAATTCCAAAATATACTTAACAAGCAACATTCATCAATAAAATATACAATAGAAGCTGAAAATGAATTAAATCACTACATCTTCTTGATGTCACCATTAACAATGATTAAAATTTTAAAGTCAATATTCAAAGGTTATATTCATAGAGCTTACAGCATATGTAGCGAGGTATATCTTCAAGAGGAGATTTTTTAATCTTCAAGAGGAGATTTTTTAATCTTCAAGAGGAGATTTTTTAATTAATATATTTAGTGAAAATGGTTATAACAAACGTCAGCTTCAAATCATTGCTAACCAGGTTTAAATAAAAAGATTTACTAACATGAATGTAATCCCTAATCCAAACAAAATTCAAATACCAACAAATCCAAATGCACTTTCTACAATCTCTTCATCTTGGATACCATTATTATCCCCAAAACTTAGAAAAATATTTCGGAAAGCTGGTTACTGCACTGTTTTTAAATCTAATCATAATTTAAGGACTCTACTAACATCAAAAAACAAATGGAGGCTACCGGACAACAGTAAACCTGGAATTTATTTAATTGAATGTAATTGCTCCAAAGTGTATGTTGGTGAAACAAAATTACAAATTAGAACAAGATCTTAACAACACCAAATATGTTTGATGGAAGATAAGTATTATCAGCCGGCTACAGCTCTTTATAAAAAATACTGTAGAGAAGAAATTAATTGTGATAAAGTTAAAACACTTAAAGAAGACAATAAATTTGTTAGGAAAGTTCAAGAAGCATTAGAGATTCAAAAACATCAATGCTCTCCAATTTATGGTGGAATAAATTTAGATAACAGACAATACATTAAAACTAAATTTTGGACTCCATTTTTTGCATTCTTGCGTCAAAGAAGCTGTTCTAACGCTGACTTCAAAGTTTAATTTTTGTAATTTATTATAACGGTCATAATTGTAATTTTTAATTACGATATTATAGCTGATAATGCTGGTAACTATAATCCAGCAAAATTTCAAATAAATTAACAATAGTATTGAGAGAAATCGTATTAATTGATGTTTTTATATTTTTAACATATATACTCTCATACAAGATGTCAACATTTAAATATATATATTGTGCTTTTTTCGGACCCATAAAATACAGGTCTTTACCAAACCTACTTTTTCTATACTTATCTATTCCACATCAATCATTTCTATACTTAAGATTTGTTTCAATATTTTTATGTAAAATCATTCATTTAAAAAATTGCTTAAAGAGCAAAAAAATTAACATGTTCAGGGTGCACATGTTAATTTTTTGTTAACACATGTTAATACTGCCTGCAAACTCAACATATTCTAAAGATGTTTACTTTTACAGACATTTGTAGGCAACCCTATACAAATAGCAGAACTAAGATGATCTTAGGTCATTAAAAACTAGACTATAAAACGCTAAGGGTCGTCCATAAATTACCCAACGCTAAATTTATTTTTAAAAAAGAAGTAGGAGATCTTCAGTTCTTTTAGGTGGCGATTTTCATTAAACTTGATGAGCTATTTTTATTTTTTATTTAACATATGACTCTGCGAGGAAAAATTTTGATATTTTTTGTTTTGTTCATTAGTGAAATTTAGCGTTGCTTAATTTATGGACAATCCCTTATTTAAAATTTTAGATTAGGAATCAGCCAAAAAGTATATAAAGCCAAAAAATAATAGAGTATAATAGTATTTTTATGGTTGTTTTGTTCTATTGTTGTTGTTGTGCACTCGGTTTAAAATGTTTAATGGGGGCATGGTAAAGTAGGTGTATAACTCTAAATTTCTTTATTGTATCAATATTAAATAACTTTAATTTTTAATTATGTTTAAAAGTATTTAGTTTAATAAAATGGTTTAATTTAAGTATAAAATTAGAATTTTCAATTATGTTCTTATATAAAACATTTTTTAAACCCCCTTACTGTTTTAAAAAAATTGAGGTTGCTGCGTGGCAAGTTCAAATCTTCAGCTTGCTTTATTTTTTAATTTTTGTTATTTAAAATGCAAAACTAAACAACTTTACAGTTCTTTACATTTTATATTCTATATATTTACATGTTGTATACTCATTTTTTTTGCCCAAACTCAACTTTGTAAAAAAACTTGAAATGTAATGATTGTAATCTCAATCATGACCCATATGCAACAAATATCCCCTTGTTTTTTAATGTTTTTAGAATATTTAACTTTTTAAAAAATCTTTTTGTTTGTTAAAGTGTATAATATCATTAGATATGTTTGTGATATAGTCTTTATAAAACTTGACAAGTATTTTGTATTTTGAAAATTAAAAAAAAGATCGCAGGTGGTTGGACTCGAACTACAGCTTCTTTGTTCAGAAGCTCAGTGCGCTAACCACTTGGCCATGCTGCAGATCAAAAATTAAGGAGAGGTTGATGCAATGCAATTTTCAAGCGAAACTAAAACTGTAAAACTTGATTTGTTTTGGTATGTTTTAATATTACATAATTTGAAGTTTATGTACATTAGATATTTGCATAGACTTTCGTTCACATTTTCTTATAAAACAAAGCTGCTACAACTTTTCTAGCCATTACCTCGGTTGCAATGGCTGCCATGAGTTCTGTGTCAAACAGGCCCGGAAA